CCTGTCAATAGATGCAGAAAAGCATTTGACAAAATACAGCATCCTTTCTTAATAAAAACCCTCAAGAAAGTCAGGATAGAAGGAACATACCTAAACATCATAAAAGCCATATATGAAAAGCCCACAGCTAATATCATCCTCAATGGGGAAAAACTGAGAGCTTTCCCGCTGAGATCAGGAACACAACAGGGATGTCCACTCTCACAACTGTTGTTTTAACATAGTGTTGGAAGTTCTAGCATCAGCAATCAGACAACAAAATGATAAATAAAAGGTATCAAAATTGGCAAAGAAGAAGTCAAACTTTCACTTTTTGCAGACGACATGATACTCTACATGGAAAACCCAAAAGACTCCACCAAAAGGCAGCTAGAACTGATACATGAATTCAGCAAAGTTGCAGGGTACAAAATCAATGTACAGAAATCGGTTGCATTTCTATACACCAATAATGAAGCAACAGAAAGAGAAACCAAGAAATTGATCCCATTTACAATTGCACCAAGAACCATAAAATACCTAAGAATAAACCTAACCAAAGATGTAAAAGATGTGTATGCGAAAAACTATAGAAAGCTTAGGAAGGAAATTGAAGAAGATATAAAGAAATAGAAAAACATTCCGTGCTCATGGATTGGAAGAATAAATGTTGTTAAAATGTCAATACTACCCAAAGTGATCTACACATTCAGTGCAATCCCAATCAAAATTGCACCGGCATTCTCTTCAAAGCTTGAACAAACAATCCTAAAATTTGTATGGAACTACAAAAGACCCCAAATAGCCAAAGAAATCTTGAAAAAGAAAACCAAAGCAGGAGGCATCACAATCCCAGATTTTAGCCTCTACTACAAAGCTGTAATCATCAAGACAGTATGGTACTGGCACAAAAACAGACACATAGACCAATGGGATAGAATAGAAAACCCAGAATTGGACCGACAAATGTATGGCCAACTAATCTTTCACAAAGCAGGGAAAAGTATCCAATGGAAAAAAGAGAGTCTCGTTAGCAAATGGTGCTGGGAGAACTGGACAGCAATATGCAGAAGAATGAAACTAGACCACTTTCTTACACCATACACAAAAATAAACTCAAAATGGATGAAAGACCTAAATGTGAGTCAGGAAACTATCAAAACTCTAGAGGAGAAAGCAGGCAACAACCTGTTTGACCTCAGCCGCAGCAATTTCTTGCTCAGCACGTCTCCAAAGGCAAGGGAATTAAAAGCAAAAATGAACTACTGGGACCTCATCAAGATAAAAAGCTTCTGCACTGCAAAGGAAACAATCCACAAAACTAAAAGGCAACTGATGGAATGGGAAAAGATATTTGCAAGTGACATATCAGATAAAGGGTTGGTATCCAACATCTATAAAGAATTTACCAAACTCAACACCTGAAAACCAAATAATCCAGTGAAGAATGGGCAGAAGACATGAATAGACACTTCTCCAAAGAAGACATCCAGATAGCCAACCAACACATGAAAAGATGCTCAACATCACTCATCATCAGGGAAATACAAATCAAAACCACACTGAGATACCACCTCAGGCCAGTCAGTGGTTAAAATGAACAAATCAGGAGACTACAGATGCTGGCAAGGATGTGGAGAAACAGGAACCCTCTTGCACTGTTGGTAGGAATGCAAACTGGTGCAGCTGCTCTGGAAAACAGTGTGGAGGCTCCTCAAAAAAATTAAAAATACAACTACCCTACGACCCAGCAACAGCACTATTAGGAATTTATCCAAAAGATACAGGAGTGCTGAATCACAGGGACACATGTACCCCAATGTTTATAGCAGCACTTTCAACAATAGTCAAATTATGGAAAGAGCCTAAATGTCCATCAGTTGATGAATGGATAAAGAAGATGTAGTTTATATATAAAATGGAATACTACTTGGCAATGAGAAAGAATGAAATCAAGCCATTTGCAGCAACATGGATGGAACTGGAAGGTTTTATGGTGAGTGAAATAAGTCAGTCTGAGAAAGACAGATATCATATGTTTTCACTCATAAGTGGATCTTGAGGAACTTAACAGAAGACCATGGGGGAAGGGAAGGGGGAAAAAAAAGTTACAGAGAGGGAGGGAGGCAGACCATAAGAGACTCTTAAATACAGAGAACAAACTGAGGGTTAATGGGGGAGTGGGGGAGAAGGGAAAATGGATGATGGGCACTGAGGAAGGCACTTGTTGGGATGAGCACTGGGTGTTGTATGTTAGCGATGAACCACGGGAATCTACCCCAAAAACCAAAAGCACACTTTACACACTGTATGTTAGCCAATTTGACAGTAAATTTTATTTTTAAAAATAACAAATAATTAAAAATAAGGCCAAAAAATGAATCTACAATTACATAAGTATATAAAGTTTAATTAAAATAAAAATTTTAGGGGGCACCAGGATGGCTCAGTCAGTTGGGCATCTAACTTCAGCTTCGGTTGTGATCTCATGGTTTTAGAGTTTGAGCCTACGTTGGGCTCTGTGCTGACAGCTCAGAGCCTGGAGCCTGCTTCAGATTCTCTGTGTCCCTCTTTCTCTGCCCCTGCCCCACTCATGCTCTCTTTCTGTCTCAAAAATACATAAACATTAAAAGAAATAATAAAATAAAATAAAAATTTTTAAAGGATGGAGGGGTAAAGTATGTCACATGTGGCTGTTTTTAGGTTTACAGGCAGGCACCTTAGAAAGCAGGATAGTGATGAGAAAGGCAATTTGGCACAGGACACTCCTTACGTGCTCACTTCAGTCTCTAGCAGTAGCTTTAAGAGTATACAGAGTGCTCACCCATTTACAAGAGCACCAGTGATGACATGAATCAGGTCCCCACTAAACCTCAGATAGACTATGGAACTCCCTAGAACCTCCTTAATACAAGAATTTGGTTAAGTACCCTACTGGCAGAAGGGCTGACAGGTCTAAGGGATTTTAGTAACAAAGAAAAATCATGACCTTTAACCCAGTCCTATAAACTACATCACTGACATTCACACAAATATCACTTTATCCTTAGTCATCATGATTCAACCTAGAAACAGCCCAAATGTGCACCAACAGGACAATTTACAAACTGTAGTGTAATCACACAATAGACTACCTACCACTTAGTAATAAAATGAAATGAGGTCGTGATACATACAAGCACATGAAAGAATCCATAGCATGCTGCCCAGGAAAAGAATCTCTAAAAACTCCAAAAAATATCTTCACTGATTCTACAGAATTATTATTGACTCTTAAACTCATTCAACTCAGGATAGAGAACTGATTCACTACAAAATCCCTGGTAAATTCCACGACAGTTAAATTAATTAAAATTAATTTGATTTGCCCAGGCACAAATTCTCTTTGTGAATTCTGAGCTTAGCACAAAGAACTTTTTTTTCTTTAATCTGTAAGAAACATACTCACCAACTCTTCCTTTCTTGTGAATATGGCCAGGCATGATGCCAATTTTGCATTCTCCAGGCTGAAGGAAAGGAAATCACAGTTTCAGAAAAGTGAAAACAACAACCTGTAACTAATAAGTCATACACACAAACACACTTGGACTGACTCAAAGCTAGTTAGCCTTGTGAAAGCCTAAATCCAGGCTTATTTTTGTTTTTACACTTACATTGATGACTCCAGGGCAGTTAGGCCCGATCAGCCTGGTCTTTCCCTGACGCAGCAGTTTGTGCTTGACCCGCACCATGTCCTGCTGTGGGATACCTTCAGTAATGCACACAACCAAGGGCATTTCCGCCTCAACAGCTTCATTGATGGCAGCAGCAGCAAAAGGAGGAGGAACATAAATGACAGAAGCTGTCGCTCCTGTCTGTTCTTTGGCCTGAAACATTAACCACGAAGCACTTTATTATGGGGAAAATTGTAAACACTGTAAAATGAATTCAATACCATGATTTTAATAATGTCTTGGGATCAGGAAAAGACACCACCAGGCAACACTGGATGTCTTCATTCTTCCCACTAACAAGATCACTATGCTGTCAGAAAAGAGCAGAACCAAGCAGGGCCTCCCCTCTGCCCCATTAGAATGCTGCTCTGAATTGAAAGGTTCTGGGATGACCCATTCTCTCAGGTGACGGCATGTCAATAAACTTGAAGGTATGCCTGACTTGCGTTTGTGTACCCTCATTCCTGCGGCCATGTTTACTTTTGTTGCTCTACAAGACACCGTATCACCTACTCAGTACCAAACACCCTATACCTCCCCAGGAGCAAAAGAACTAGTAAGCCGCTGAGACTCAGAACTCACATCTCCAATGCCTGTTCAAAACATATCATACTTGATAAATGTTATCAAAAGACGTTGAAAATGATGTGTTTTTCTACACTCACAATTTTTACTTTAAATGCACATTAATTAAAATAAACTAAAATACAAATGCATAAATGGCCATAGAATGAGAATGTGGGTCAAATAAGCATCAGGGTCTATTCTACATCACCCCTCACAATGCAGAGCACTTAAAGACCAGTTTGACCATGGTTCTCTCTGTAGTCTTCACATATACGAAAGATGTCTCCTTCTACCCAACTCTAGGTGTGGCCACATCTCTTCCACTGTAATGGAAGCTCCTTGAAGACAGAGATTGTTGGTGATCTCTGATTCTCCAAGAGAACCTGTTCTGTGAGAAGCCCTGCAAGAGGGCTCAAGACAGGTCTTGTTAAGGCCTCACCACAAGCCTGTATGCTTAGTATTTCCATCTACAAATTAAGATGCTGTGGCAAAGAGACAGTAAATAACTTACACAACAAGGTGGCATAACTAGGAAGTGAGTGGCAGAGCCAAGATTCAGATCTAAGTATCTCTGATTCCAAAGTGTCTGTTCTTTTCAGTTATAGCAGGCTGCCTTCCTAGAAATGTTAAAATATAACTTAATCAAGATATAAAGCAAAACCTTTGGGAAGCCTGTGTCATGGGATTTTACAAATGGAGAAGAATACTAGGCTATAGAACACACAGGTATAGCTCTTAGAAGGGGCGGAAGTAAAAGACAGTATCTTTCAGAATCATCCCTGAAGGATTCCCTATATCCCCAGACACTGAGGAGCTTTCTCTATGGCATCCCTAATAAAAAGTATCTTGACAATGACAGAAGAACAAAGTCAAAGGATGCTGACAGATGATCAACAAATGATGCCAGGGGTTAAAAATAATTAAAAAAAAAAAAAAAAAAAACTCGGTTCAAGGTGATCAGAGAAGGGGGTACAAAAAACAAAACAAAACAAAACAAAAAACTAGGTTGGAACAAAAAGAAGTCAGATCATAGGGATGTACGTATTTTTTGGAAAATATACCCTGCAGTTTTCTACCTCTTAAAGGCCACAAATACCATCAGAAGCTGGACTGTGACAACAGGGTCTGTGCTAACAAGCGATACTGGATGAAAGGTATCCATCCTGTTCATTCAGAAAGCTTTTTCTCAGTGCCAAACAGGTAAGAAATACAGTATCTGTCAAAGAACTTACAAAATGTTACAAATGTCATATTTATTTGTATCACAATGAATAATAAATGGGTTGCTTAGCAACAAAAACTTCCTTTAAAAGAAAGCAAAAAAAGGCCCATGAAAAAGTCAAATCTACCTACAGGAATTATGAAAACAGCTCTTCTCTCTATTTTGAGGTCGTGAAGTCAGCCATAAGAGAATTTAAAGCAAAAAGACTTTAAAATTCTTCTATAGAACATATGATTTTAACTATTTTTTTTTACTCTTTACAGTACACTTAAAACATACATATACACATATAGTACAACCTATTTTCAAGTTTAAAGTAAAATGAAAATTCTGAATTTGAATTATGTTTTTTTCCTACATTTTAGGATTAAGAATATAAATTCACTTCAATTCGAAGTTGGTATTCTAAAAAGAGATTAAGTATAAATCTGTACTTTTAAACAATGTGATACTTGAAAACATGTCTTAAAACTCTTTTAAGAATATGGGGAGGGATGCATCTTTTATCACCAGTACCTCGGTCCCAAGTACTAAGTTTATTTCCTAGATTTTTTTATTAAATAGGTGAGAATTTATACCATCGTTTCTTTTATAATACTATTACCTTCCTATATATTCATGCAAGTGCAGAAAGAAAATGAAAGAATACACACTGACCTGAAATGAGCTCTCGAGAAAGGTAAAATCTGGGATGTGGAAAACACTATAAAATTTAACTTTACATGCTTTTATATCATCTGAAGTTTTACAATAAGCAAATATTAATTTTGTAACACGGAATTAAAGTTTATTTCAACATACTTTAAAAATGACTAAGAAAGCAGCAATTTGGGGAAGAGACTAGGGCTCTGTGATTTGTCAGTCTGACTTTAAAGCTCAGTTTTTTCACAGGCACACCAAACTGCTTACCCTGAGCCATGCTAAGTCTACCACTTCTCAGCCACGAACTATGGGCAGGACCCTTAACCTCTCTGCATGTATCCTTGTCTTCAGAATGGGGATGGTGACAGCACCTGCACCTCACCGGGTGGTGACGAGGCCTGAATGAAGCAATGTATATAAAGCACGTAGCACGGTGCCTGGCAAAGAGCCCTTTCTCGGTAAGTGTTAGGGGGTGGAAGCTGACATGTGTGCTGCTAACATCCTGGAGGAAGAGTAAGGAAAGGATTATAAGCCAAACAGAAGCCAACCTATAGCACTTCTCCCCTTACCAGCTCATGTGAATGCCTATAAAGAAAATGACACTGGCTGTGGGGAAGACATCCTGAGCCTGGGTGACTAAATCGAACCTACTGGTTTCTACGTTACTGGATTTTAAAATAGCAAGTGACTCTCCTGAAAGGGACACAATTAAGATCTCTATCCAAAGTGTGCTTGCTCTTCTCCTGCTTTTCTTTATTAGCAAACTCGGTACCATTAATTACCTCCTTCACAGTATTAAAGACTGGTAAGCCCAGATGTGTCTTGCCTCCTTTCCCTGGAGTGGTTCCTCCAACTAGTTGGGTGCCATATTCCAGTGCCTGCTGGCTATGAAAGGTGCCCTGAGGGGAAAAAAAGCGCAAGACTCATGAGAAAAGACAGACTGGGAAGCCTAAAGGCAATCTTCAGCAACTTAGAAAAGAAAAACAAATAGGTTAACTATTTCCCAGAATGTGATAGTAACATATATCCAGCATTCTCAACAACTTGCTAAACCCAGCTCTGAACCCTGAAACAATCCAGGGCTCTGCAAAGCCAAAACAGGTGTTGTTTGGAGTCTTTAAAAAAAAATTTTTTTAATGTTTATGCATTTTTGAGAGACAGAGCGCAAGTGGGGGTGGAGCAGAAAGAGGGAGACACAGAATCTGAAGCAGGTTCCAGGCTCTGACCTGTCAGCACAGAGCCCGATGTGGGGCTCGAACTCACAAACTGTGAGATCATAACCTGAGCTTAACCGATTGAGCCACCCAGGTGCCCGTTGTTTTTTTTTTAAAGGGGATCTCCCTTTATTCAATTTTCAAATTCGGCTAATGGTCAGAAACACCTGTGTGTTTACTTAAACTAACACCTCTTTTTCACTGTTCTCCAGCTCCTGACGTCCTCAGATCCCTCATTTATGCAGTTTAAAATCCATGGTCAATCATTATAAACACACAACAACCTTGACTCTCTCTCACTTCAACTTACACATCTAACAAAATCACAATCTTGGTTAAATCCAGTTCCCCACCTACTCTAAAATCATACATGTGCAGTCAACCAGTAGCTGGAGAAAAAAACAGAACCATGCTAACTGATCTCACTTCAAAATACTGGTCACTAACCTTAAGGCAAGCTTTTAATGCTGCCCAGCCAACATCCCATAGTTCCCTATCCATTCACTCTCCCTCTTCAACTCAGCACTACAGACATTTGGGTCCCGTGGATTCGTTGTTATAGAAAGTTGCTCTGTGCTTTGCACAATGTTTGGCAGCATCCCTGGCCTCTACTCAGTAGATTCCAGTACCACACCCTCCTCTCCACCCCACTCAGCTGTTGTGACAACCAAAGATGTCTCCATAAATTGAAAGACTATTTTTCACGAGGCTTCTAGGGCTCTACCTCCCCTGGTTGTCCTCTTCTTTCTCTCTCTCCTTAGACCTCTCTTTTGCATCTAAATTTGGCCCCTGAGGATCTCATCCCTTATAATGGCAATAATCCATTTGGCGACTCCTCCCATACACAGACACACACACACACACACACACACACACACACACACACACACCTCCATACCCAACCCAAACCTTTTCTTTGAGCTCCAAACTCACACTGTCAACTGCCCACCTGACATTTCCACTTGGAGTACTAACTGGCAGGCATCTGAATGTGCTCAAAACCAAATTCCTGCCCACCCCGCACACTCCCCTCCCACTCCCCCCCATCTGGGTGAATGACAATTCCACTCCTAACAGATGCCAGATCAAAAGTACTGAAGTCACCCTTGATTCTCTTTTTCTTCTATCTCACATCAGACACATTATTGCCCTAACTTCAAAATATACCTGACAGTGTCTCATCCCTTCTACTGCTACCACCATGGTCTAAGTCACCATCAACTCTTGAAAGAATATTGCTCTTGGCTCCCTTTCATCTGTTGTCAACACAGCAGCCAGAATAATCCTGTTAAAACATAAGCAAGATCCTAACACTCCTCTGATCAAAACTCTCCAGTGGTTTTCCACTTCACTCACAGTCAAAACCAAACTCCTTATACGGGCCCGTAAGTCAATACTCAACCTGCATCCTCACATCGGAACTCCTTCACTGCCTGGCCTCATTTACTATTCTCCCACTGCTCATTTCACTCCAGTCACGTTGGCCTTGTGGCTACCACACACAACAGGCACATTCCTGCCTCACGGCCTTGCTGTCCCCTTTGCCTTGAATGCACTTCCCTTGATCCCCATCCACTTGCTTTGCTCTCACATCTCCCTTAGATCTTGACTCAGGTCAGGCTTCCCCTGACCACCTGACGTAAAATCCCCCCTTCCCCAACCTGAACACCACCACAACCCCACACACATACACACACTTCTACCTCTGGCTTATTTTTTCCAGAAAGCATTTATACTCTCTAACGAACCACATAATTTACTCATTGGTTTTGTTGCCATGTTTTTCTCCCTCCCACCACTAAATATAAATTCTAAGAAGGCAGTGATTTCTTACTACTTTGTTCACTGAGAAATGGCACCTAAACCAACACAAGACATACAGTAAGCACCCAATAAGCAATTGCTGAAATTGAATGGATCTATATGGTCATTCTATACAGACCTAAAAATGCTGACCCAACTACTCAAATTCTATTACAGGCATAATAATTGGGACTTCACAAGGGACTTCAGAAATTTCCTGATTCAACTTCTTCACTTTTCAAAATAGATAACTTAGACCCAAGCATGTTAACTAACTTGTCTAAAGTCAATGATGGAGTTCTGAAAAGAACCACAAGCCAATGCTCTCTCTTTAAGCAGTGCTATTCAAAGTGTAGTTTGTAGACTCTAGCTGGTCTTCAGTGAGATAAACACAAAAAGAAAAAGAATAAAAAAATTACAAAAAACAAAGGAAAAAAATGAAAAACAAGAAGAAAAAAATAAGTTAAAAAACAAAAATAAAAATGACAGTTTGCCAACTTTTATAGCAATATGATATTGTTGCAACTTTTCTTTTGCTAAAAATATTGGTCTGCATTAGATTGAAAACTAAAAGCAAACAAACACCCAAATTGGTCTTTCACTCTAGACAGCTTAAGAAGCACTGCCCTAGATTACTACTCTGTTAAACAAATTCAAATGGACTTATTTTTTAGTCCTAAGTAGGGCTAAAAGCTGTTAATAAGCTTATTTTCCTTAGTTTCCCCATTATCACCATCCAGGTAAGAATAGAAATAGTTTTAGGAGTTCAAATCCAGTACCAGAAATTCCACCTACTGGAAATGTGCATTGTTGAAATCCACTCTGAAATACAAATATTCCTCATTCATATGTGGAACAATGTATACGCCAAAAAAAGAACTAATGAGACAAAACATAGATTTCCTATGAAGATAAACTCAAAATTTCAGACTTCATTGTTATCTCTATAACAGAATCTTAACTAATATGAGACAAGTAAGGTTCCCAATTACTTAAAAAAAAAAAAAGTAAATGAGAAACAATGCAATTGCAAGTAACTGAAAGACACTGAAACCACCTTGGCTTTCAATATTTAGGCAAACCATCACTTAATTCAGGAAGCACAGATAGTTTCAAATATTGCTTATACCATGGACAACTGCTCTTTTAAAAAAAGGTCATAGGATAAGATGTCATAGGATCATAAAGAGTTTAGTAAACAAAAACACCATATATAATAAACTAATGCAGAGAATTAGGATTAATCAAACATTTGATTATATGCTAACACAATTAATATATAACCAAAAGAGGACTGAAAATGATTTTAATTGGCTGAGGAGTGATAAAATGTACTTCAAATCTTAGGTGAGCATCAGCTTTCTTTTTTTTAATGTTTTTATTTATTTTTTAGACAGAGAGACAGAGCATGAGGAGGGGAGGGGCAGAGAGAAGGGGAGACACGGAAGCTGAAGCAGGATCCAGGCTCTGAGCTGTCAGCACAGAGCCCGACGCGGGGCTCGAACTCACGAACCGCGAGATCATGACCTGATCCGAAGCTGGACGCTTAACCAACTGAGCCACCCAGGCGCCCTGAGCATGAGCTTTCTTTAGAATACATATACATGGAAGTTAATACTCATAAAATTTATGGTTATCAGAATAAATAAACCAATTTTACCTAGGAACAAAATTTAAAGGTTTCAGGTGTTCCTTTTTTTTTTTTAATGTGGATTTTTTTTTAAGATAGTAGAGAAATAGAAGAAAGGTCCAGTTATTTCAAGAAAATAACTCATTTTTGTGCCAATAATTTCAGAAAAAAAGTAAAAAAGCAAAAGGACATTTTGTATCAAAAACCTAACCAAGTTCATTTTTTAAAAAAACCCAAACCTATGGAATTTTAAAGCAATTTGTAAGTACTTTATTTACTTTTATTTTTTTTATAATTTGTTTATTTTTTAAATTTACATCCAAGTTTGTTAGCATACAGTGCAACGATTTCAGGAGTAGATTCCTTAATACTCCTTACCCATTTAGCCCATTCCCCTCCCACAAGCCCTCCAACAACCCTCTGTTTGTTCTCTATATTTAAGGGTCTCTTATATTTTGTCCCCCTCCCTGTTTTTGTATTATTTTTGCTTCCCTTCCCTTATGTTCCCTATCTGTTTTGTATCCTTAATTCTTTAAATGGGTGAAGTCATATATTTGTCTTTCTCTGACTAATTTCACTTAGCATGATACCCTCTAGTTCCATCCACGTAGTTGCAAATGGCAAGATTTCATTCTTTTTGATTGCCAAGTAATATTCCATTGTGTATATATATATATA